AAAATACTTTTGTCTGTTTTCCACCCCATTTTGGTAGAATCCAACCATGGTGTGGGACTGTGGCTCTAATGATTTTTAGATCTTCCTCAGATAGCAAACCTAGGCCTGAGGATCATGGGTCTAAATGGTGTGGGAGAGGTAGCTTCTCTGTAGCATCTGTGATGGGGTCCAAGCTGACTTGGCTTGTGATGTCTCAAGGTGACTGCCCCCAAACTTAGTATTACCATGAACTTTGTTAGTGGAAGTATAATCTCTGAACAAGACAGGGGCCTGGGTTGTTTGCCCTCCCTCTGTATTAGATTCCACACATCTAATGTCAGCACCATGCTTAAGGGGAAAATTAACCATACTAAAATAGTCCACAAAGAAAGCACACCAGGTGATAAAATAAATCTAAACCGTATTGGAGAGAAATGATTCGGCAGCATGAGATAGTATTGACTAGCATCTAAATAATTATTTTAAAAGGATGACTTCGGAACTCCTATGTCAAGTAAATCAAAAGCTATCACTTATGCAAAAGGTAAACAGGAGGACCTATGACATCCCAGTTCTAAGCATTTGGCGAAGTGGCAGAAAATGATACAGACAAAAAGCCTTGTCCTCCTAGAGCTTATACAAGAATGAAGAATAAAGTTTTCAGATCCTCAAGATTAGAATGTTTAACTGACGTTGGTTAGTAGCAGGCATAGAAATTGTATGTATGATAGGGAGAAATAATTGTGTTGTACTTGTGGAACATTAAAAGAAATCTCTGAAAAGCAAAGAGATCACTATCTATGGAAGAATTCCAGCAGGGGTGGCCATTGTAGAGGACCTTCAGGAATCTAATGGGAAGAGATAAAACAGCCTAATGGGAAGGAAACTAATGAGTGATCTCTAAAGTCCTTTCTAAAACTGAAAACCCAGCACTGTAGTATCAAACATCAGCAGTGCTTTCGTAGTTGAAGCACTTCCTCTGTTCCATATGCTTTCCTAAGTGCTTTATTTCACATGGCGCCTGTAGCATGCATGGCACAGATGAAGAAAATAAAATGACATCAGGACCAGCAGTTGGTGTAATGGCTATGTCACTGGACTCCCATGTAGTTGACTGTGGTGCGAGTCCCGGACCTGGTGGCTTAAACTCATACCGGGTGCATTGTGCGTGCGTGCCCAAGATCCCAAGAGAATGGAGGAGAAGGGATTGCAGCGTGGCCATTCTCCCTGGGGGGGATTTGCTTTCTGTCTGTCTCTTTCTGGTGAGTGCATGCACCCTATAGCAAAATCCTCTCAAAAAAAAAAAAACCACAAAAACATAAAACTATGATTTTTAAAAAGTTAAAAAAGTGATTTTTACAAGTATAAAATTAAAATGTCAAAGATCAAAGATATTTTAAGTCAATAATTAATGAGAGAAACAGTTTCAAGAGCATATAAGGAGCTCAACATTGACAGGTGTGTTAACAAAAGAATGTCAACATGACATTGCTACATTAGATGCAAAACGTGTAATGTTCCAAAGAGCATTAAACCTTCACATCTGAGGTTAGTTATTCTCCTGGGAGTACCTTTACCAGATAAAAGTTTCCAAGTTAACATGTAACATTACTAAATCTGAGTCCTTTATTCCAGAACAATTGAGTTCAACAAAGCACATTTCCCTTAACTTCAGAGAGCCTGGCAAAAAAAATTCTTACATATGACCTTGTAAGAACATCTTTTGACTTTATTTTTTTATTATTTTTTATTATTATCATAATCTTGTTTATATTACATTGAATTGCATATAACTTTACAGTGTATTACATTGCTTTTTCAAAAGGGAATGACATGCATGTCCATCAATACAGAGACATTAATCTCCCCAAATTTGGTATAATTTTATTAACATTAGAAGAGCTAAATACTTTGCAAGATTTCCCAGCTCATAGTCTCGAAGCTGGTTCTCAGAGGTACTTCTCTCCCGATACACAAACGGAAATGAACCATCTAGCAAAGCCTTTGGAGAGATGGTGGGGCAGAGCCCACATCATGCTGTTCTTCCCGGGGAGGAGTCTGAACTTGATTTTCCCAGTTGTTTTTATTGATCATGGAAACATTTGTAAACCAGTTGGAATGAAGAACTGCTTTGCTTCTTTTGTTTCCCCAAAGGAAGCTGGGCCCACCAAATGTGATTAGTAGAGAGTGGTTCATTAACCACAGCTATGATTGACTCTAAGACAAAGACAATGGAACCCCAGATAGAAGAAACCTGATTCTTTAGAATGTGTGGCAGCTGTTTTCTCAGGAAGACTTCTTCCTCAATCTGTGGGCTTTTATTTTGCTGTTGTTGTTGTTAATTTAGGATGTTGTTAATTTAAGATGTTGCAGTTTCTAAACACGGGAATTGCCATTGTGAATGGTCTTCTATTTTTAGAATGATGATTTAGAGCTCTTTAAAGTATGAAGAGAAAGTCCAGTTCTCTGCAAATGGCACTTTGTCCAGCCTCCTGTAACTGACTGCAAATTTGATCTTACTGTTTCCCTTTTTTTGTGAGTTAATCTGGAGGAAAGACTTCAGTGTTATGTTTAGGGAATCAATGGAAAGCAACTTTGTAGTTGATTTAGTGTTCCCGAAAGGCTTCAAGGCAGTTCCCTGTGTTTCAGGTGATCTTCCCCTATTACATAAAGGTGAGGTAGCAGAAAACTTGACTAGCCAGTCAAACTTATTCTAGAACTCATACTGGATATAGGAGTACAGTTTTGCTTAAACAAACAAACAAACAAAAAACAGCCCAGACCATAGTGCAGTGGTAAAATGCAGCCCTCTGCAAGGCTGGCCCACATGGGAAGGTTCTAAGTTCATGTCCAGAGATCTCCCTTACTATCCTGGGCATTCATGTGCCCATGACCAGAGGCTGGCTGAGGTCAGGGTGCATGTGGCATCAAGACCTGTCGAGGATGCCATCTGTGTGTTTCTCACTGATGGAAGAAACTGATGAACTCAAAGCATAGAAATAGAGCACTGGTAGTAGATACCAGAAGCTAGGGTCCGGCAGGTGGCGTGGTGGTTAAAGGTGCTGGATTCCCACATAACCGACCACAGTTTGATTGCTGGACCTGGTGGCTTGCTTTCTCACTTTCCCATTCTCTGTCTCTCTCTGGTTAAATTGAAGTTAATAATAATAACAACAAATGGAATTAAGTAAATACATATTTTTTAAAAAGATACCAGAAGCTGCGTGGTCAGTGGGGCGTGTAATTGAGTGGCAAATAGGCAGAAATTTTAAACAGACATAAGAATGTATATAAATAAAGGAAAGAGGTCACGAAATGGTGTACCACAGCAGAGTCAAAATTTGGACAATTCAATACATATTTAAAAAAGAAAAACCCTAGTTGAACTAGTTTCAAAGGACACAACATAATGTAATGATTAGTGTTGAAGAAGATGAATATGTATTTATCCCTGATTGGATTATTATGTGCTGTATGCATATTTTCAAAAGCCATACTGTACTCTCCAAAGATGTACATAATATATATGTCAACTTGTAATGACAATAAAGAGAAAGAAAATAACAAAACTGAAATTTATTTACAGTCCCATCATAAGCATGTCACATAGCCTATCCCACTGAGTCCCCAGTAACTCTACAGGTGTGTTCTAGTATTTTCATTTCATAGGTGAGGAAACCAGCTCCAGAGAGGTTAAGTAAACTGAGCAGAGTTCACAGCCAATATGAGTCGAACCTTAGACCGAGGCCATCTGATTATAAACCTACTCTCAAAAAGGCTAAATGAGCTCACCTTTCCAAATAATGTCAGAATAGACAACACACACAGGAAAGGAGCACAAATCCCCCTTACAGCCTCCGCTGGGGCATTAACTGTCTTTGTAACTCTGGACAAGTCATCTCATCTGTCTGGGCCTCCACTTGCCTGTGTAAAATGAAGGGTAGAAACAATTTGTATTAGATGGTCTCTGGGGTTCTTGCAGCTCTAAAGTTCTCTGATTCTATAATTGCATCCTGACCTTTGATGCACATAGGCACCCCACCACACACGCATGCACCCAGTGCTTCCCAAGGCAATAATCTAATCCTGCTGAAAGTGCGCAGTTCAATTTCACATTAAGCCCAAGACCCCACCAAATCTTATTTGCAGAGCCACCTCCAGAACATGCAGCACCGTTAAATCGGGCAAGCCCGTACTTTAGATATAAATTGTTAATGGGCATGATCTTTGGAAGTAAAGTGTTAGTACCAAAAAATTAAATAAATAAAGGAGAAAGAAACATGAAACAAATGCTGCTCTCTCTTTAAATTGTCTCTTTTCTGCAATGTTACCTTGACAACTTAGCTTTCGCTCTTTAGATCTGGGGGTTGTTCAGTGTGGGAGGAGAGGGGTGTCCTCCACCTGTGTTTTGAGATTTCTTACTGTGTTTTTTGGAAAGAGGAAATGTCAAAGGTAGACCACAAAACCCAACAGAACGTGCACAGGATATTTTGAGGGTGTGGCCTCCAGAAATAATCACAGGTGCACAATATCAGGATGCTTTCTGATGTAAGGTACAGTCTTCTCTCCTTTCTCTTTCCCATAGCCCTAGTGCACATTGCAGCAGCCTGTTAAATGTTACATTTTTGGACCAGCACAGTTATAGAGCAGAGAGCAACAAAGTGTCTGAAAAATAATTGCATTATTTTTAGTTGCTGCACCGATAGATGTACATATCAGGTGGAGGGGACAACTCTGAGAAATGAACCAGTCTGGGAATACTAAAAATATTGTTCTCCCTCCAGCAATTGAAATTGTGAGCAAAGACTTAGGAAACCGCAGGTAGGGAGATCAAATTAGCATTCATATCTCTCAGCTGTAATAGTCTCGTTATCAGGATTGGCAAGCACTTAGGGGACTAACGGGGGTGGCTGGAGACTCCCAGTGGCGGGAACAAGTTTACAAGGGGCAGTGTGGCTCAGAAAAGAGGACTGACCTCCAGCATCTAGCACCACAGAGCAGAGCCTTATGTTGAGAATAGCTGAGAAATGAGAATTGGTTCTAGAAGCAGTTTCCTTTCTGGTTGTGAATGTGAGCCCCGCAGACGCCATGAGCTCCGTGCAGGAGACGCAGCCCGTGCTTGACACATGTGTTTCCCATTGATAGCTGGAGACAGCCCAGTAGCTGCGTGTCGGCCTGACAAAGCCGTATTGAAGTACAGAGTACGGTTTCAAAGCAGTCAGAAAAAGAACGGGAATGCTGTTCAGGAAATTCTTCAGGCATGGGCAGGGACTTGGCTGCAGCTCTGCAGTTGGAAAATCTTACTGGGGCAGCTTCTGAACACAGCTGGGCCTGCTCATACTCAGCGGGCCCAGTGGCCGCCTCCTTCCCAGCGTCTCAGCACAGCCCGGAGATCAGCCGCTTTGTGAAACAGACAAGAGAGGTAGGGTCCCGTTCAGTTCTTGCATTTTCTGCCTCCTGTCACTTTCTAAACCCTCTGCCTGCTGTTTCTTCACAAGGGCTGGCAGTGGGTTGTGTGTGTGTGTGTGTGTGTGTGAGTGCTAATTATTGTAATAAGTGAGAGCATGAACACTTCAACATTTGGTGTGGAGTTGTCATCTTTACTATCTCCAGCCCTCTTCAAGATTTGATTTTTCAACAGGGCAGGGACACTTTTTGAAAAGTTAGGCTTTGCTGGCAATTCTACTATATAAAGAGAAGTATGCGAGTTCTCCGTATTGTCACCTTGCTCCAACCGTCTGTAACTTTTCTGCGTGGAAGGACGGTTCATTGGCAGGAAAGATAATTTTAGACGAAACTGTCTGTGTTCTTTGCTTCACAAGAGTTTTGAGAGCGGCAGTTTTAGCAGAAAATGGCTCTCATTTTAGGAGGGAATCAGAGTTAGAAGTTTCTATTTTGAATCACACTTTCAGAGTGTAGGAGCAGATAGGTGGGTATGGGTCCCTGGCGTCTATTATTTTTACACGTGATTTCTGTCTGTCATTTTATGGGATTTGACTGTCAGCTATATATTTGCCTGAGAATATGCTGGATCAACATGTGTAGTGCTGTTTCTATAATCATTTCCAATTTTTTTCAGTTGAAGTAACGTGCAGTTTTACTCTCAAAATACGCTCCTGTATTTTGTGAACTATAGATAAGAAAGAACAAGAGAAAACAATAGTTTACTCAAAATTGTGGATAAAAGATGGAGACATAATGGCATGAAATACATTTCATTGATCTTTTGGTTTTATTTTACACCTTACTGAAAAGTTTTTTTTTTAATCAAATCTCAAATAATTTTGAGCAGAGGCAGGATCTCAGTTTTCCTCTAAAGTCCCAGTTCTCCCCTCTATAAATCAGCTAGACTCATTACAACATGGATTTTTCCTCTCATAAGAAAGCTATACCTTATTCTATGTTTAATATTTAGACAACGTGAAATGCAGTTTGATTGGTTCAGCTCAGATAAAGCTGGACGGAATCTCACTCCTGTTTTATAGTGAGTGGCAGAGCAATCTGTGACAACAGTGGTGTTTTCCAAAGAAGGCCTGGCCAAGAGTCTGGTTCGAGAAATAGATGAATGAATGTATCCTCTCTTACTTTTTCAATAGACAGAGAGTGACCAGATCTCTTTAGGTGGGCCTCTATGAAAACAGGTGTGTTTAACTCAGAGTCCTAAAATCTCAAAACAAGTGCTGATTGTGGAGAATAAGACTAATAGAAGAAGAGGAGTGAAGATCAGGGGTTTCTCATTCCCTCCCCTCACAGGACCTAGGGTAAGTAGGCAGCATTTCCGTCTTATTGGTAGAAGGTCAGAATATTCAGCCTGTATTTTTTTTTTCTCCACAGTATTGTGTTAGGAAGAGAAAAGTAAGGTATGATTGACAGCAGGATCTCTTATGCTGAAGTGGTTCATAACCATTTTCTTTGTGAACCTCCTTTCTGTGTTGGGGTTGGGTAGAAAGGGTTTGGGGAAGGCAGGACTTGGGGCAAGGAAGGGGTGCGATTAGAACCCAGTGAGGACTGTGACTTGACTTGATGTTTGTGCTGAAGTGCCTATTGACTGAGCACAATGGGAAGACAGATTAGGAGCAGTTATGCGCCTCAGCCAAGCCCACTGAGAGTGAAAAAGGAGACGTCAGTGAGCTTGAATGTCAGACTCCTCTAAATTTAGTGCGCCTCAAGCGTTGAGCAGAAGAGGCGTGAAATAGCAACTCAGGGTTGCAGGATTATGAAGAGCAGTGCCTGAAACATGGAAGAAACTCTAGTATTCTGGGCTTTTGTTTTTGTTTTTCTATTTTTCAAGTACAGGAGGCAAAAAAAAAAGTCAAGCTCTTTTGACATTTGTAAAGAAAAGGGGGAGTGGAAAGGAAACTGAAGAAAAAATCTCGGGCAAAGGTGGCGGCAGGACGGAGAGGGGATGGGCACACCACGAACTGGGCAGGGAGGGTAGAGGCAGGATGCTTGGGCTCGGGAATGAATCACGTGCTAGCAAAAGCCACCAGGCACTGACCTGCTGGACTTGGAGTGTGTAGACAAACCATGGCCTCAGTGGAGAGCATTGTTTTCCCCCCTTTCACAACAGGAGACGTCATGGGCAGCCTGGCCTGCAGTGCCTTCTGGAAGTGATCAGAAAACACATTTTTGTAAGAATGGCATTGCCTAAGGGTTCAGATTTCTTAAGCAGGGAGGTGGCAGGTTATTAAGGCCTTATTTTTAAGCCATATTTGTTACTTGCTGAGATAGTCCTATGGGGGTAATTGAGTGAAGGGACCAGGTGGACATGAGTGAGTGAGCACAGTGAGCAGTTTATTCAAGGCCCAGCCTGTGGGCACTTTATTATTAGGACAAACTTCAGAAAGAGAATATAAAGTGTTACATAAGCTTTACTCCGATGAATGAGTTTCTTTTATTTTATTTATTTTTTATTTAATTAATTAGTTATATTTTTGTCATAGGGTGCATATTTTCACCAGAAAGATAGACAGGGAAAAGTGAAAAATACCCTCCGGAAAGATAGTTGTAATCCCTTCTACTCTATTCTCCTCATAGAAATTTTGAGCATGCACACACATATGCCTGAAGTGCTTTTAAAGCTGCCTGGTCCTGGATTCAAACAGTGGAATTGACCATGTAGGATCTAGTGCCTTAACCACCACACCACCTGCTGGCTCCTTCAGTTTCCTATTTTATTTTAAAAATGGGGGCTGGGGACTAGCAGATGGCATAATGGTTATGTTGCTGGACTCCCACATAATCGATCATGGTTCAAGTATCAGATTGAGTACCAGACCTGGTGGCTTAAAACTCATGCCAGGTGCGTGTGCGTGCATACCTAAAACCTCAAGAGGAGAATGGAGGAGAAGGGATTGTGTCATGGTCATCCTCCCTGAGGGGTGAATTCTCACTTTTTGTCTTTCTGTCTCTTTCTCTCCAGTGAGTGCACATGCCCTATAGACAAAAACTTCTAAAAAAAAAAAAAAAAGGAAGGGGGGTGAATATGGCATAGTGTTAAAATGAGAAGTTCTGAGGAGTAGGTCAACTTAATAAGGTTCCGGATTTGCATTCAGAGACTTTTCTGAGCATACTGGACATGTGTGTTCTCATGATCCAAGAGTAGCTGAGGCTGGGGTGAATTGTGATATCAAGACACGATTGAGGGTGTTATCTTAATCTCTTTTTTTCTCTCTTAGGCTTTGTCTCTCTGTCTGCCTTTGTCTCTTACTCTGTTTTCTTGCTCATAGAAGAGATAAAAAAAAATAAACTGGGGAGAAAAAGAGAGAGAGAGAAACTCCAAGGGTGGTATTTACCACATGATTGGTGTGTTAGGGTTCTTCAGAGATATATACTCTGTGTGTGTGTGTATGTGTATGGAGAGTTATTAAAGGAATTGGTTTATGTAATTACGGAGGCCAAGGCATCCCAATATGCATCTGTAAGCTGGAGACTCAGGAAAGTCAATGGTTTAATTCAGTCCAAGTATGAAGGCCTGAGAAACAGAAAAGCCAGCCATACACTCCCATTGTGACCAAAGGTCTGAGAATGGTTGGGTTGGGACTGGTGGTGGTAGTGGTACTGCTGTTTTAAGTTGTAGAGTTTAAAGAACTAGGAGCTCTCCATACCTTAGGGTAGGAGAAGATGGAAAATTTAACTTTCTACTACTCTTTTGTTCTGTTTGGGCCTTCGAGGAATTGCATGAGGTCTACACACATTAGTTGGTTGAATGTTAATCACTCCTGGAAGCGCCTTCACAGATATACCCAAAAATAATGTTTTACCAGCTATCTGGGCTTTCCTTAATCCAGTCAAGTTGACTCATAAAATGAATGCTCACATTGATTGAAGTGTTTGATACTAGTTTTCCGTAAGTCTAGGAAATGCTTGGAATCATAGTTTTGAGCATCTGGAAGCAACTCAGGCCATCTTTTAGTTCAGTATTTCTTGTCATATAACAAATCCTTTCAATGTGGGGATAGGGGAGAACGATCTATATTTCCACTGTTGATTCAGTTGTTCTATTACACTACTATTTAAATATGTAATAAACAAAAAACGTCCATCTAGTTTATACCTCATTATTCAAATATACAATTAAAAATTGACAAATAATTGCATATATTTATGGGGTACAATGTGCTGTTTGCTTCTATATGTACATTGTAGAAAGATTCAGTCAGAATAGTCTATCACTTTACTGGCTTTTTTATGGTTGAGAAGTTAACATTTTGTTTTTTTAGTGATTTTGAGGTACAGAACACCTTATTAACCGTGGTCACCATTGCAGTACAATTGCTCACTAAAACATTCTCTAGACTAACTAAAACCTTGTGCCCTTTGGTCAACCGTAACACTAACTGAACTTATGAATTAAATACTAAGAAACCCGTGTCATAAAAATCAGATGAATGACATTGTTATGTTTTAATGTAGAGGATGCTTTCTTTATAGGAAGTGAATAAAGTTTATGATGTGAACACGGAAGTAACACTTATCTGGAGATTTTGATTTCAGCACACTTATACTCCCGTGTCTTGCACAAACACTTGCGTCTTTCATAACTTTTTCCCTCTTCAAATCTTCCTTCACCTGCATGTGATGTTGACCTTTGACCTCCATCCAAAAGAAATGTGTCACATTGTATTACACCACACTCTGTTTTTCTTTGTAACAATTGGAATAGAAACATCATTGTCAACATGATCACAGGAGGGCTCTTTAAAAAGTTCCTACAAAAATGGATATGATGAAAAAAGTTGAGATTTCAAAATGTTTTGCCTCAAACTTAAGCTTCACTTTCATTTTCCCTGAACTTTTGGAAGTGCCCTTGTTTGAAGAATTGTGTGGTAGTAGTCATGAATCAGATCTGTATTTTCTAGAATAGAATATACAATAAGGAAACAAATATTAAAATGATAACAGAATTAAAAGACAGGAACA